AGTCTCCACCAGGCACAGGACACCTATTCTCCCTCCCTCCCTCTCTCTCTCCTTCCTTCCTTCCTCTCTCTCTCTCTCCTTCTTTCCTTCCTTCCTTCCTCCCTTCCTTCCTTCCCTCCCTCCCTCTCCTCCCCTCCCTCCCTCCTCGGTACCTCCCTCTTCTAAATCTTTAAATCAGGATCTCTCAACCTTTTTTTGTTCATGGCCCCCTTCCGAGCCTCATTTACCTGTGACACCCCCCCCTTGAAAGGGGATGCTTTCAAGAATGGTCAACAGGTGTATGTTACAATCACTTTATTGTTGGAGATATATCTCAGGATCTGGAACGTTAACTCATATGGTTTGGTCTTGTCCTATTGTTGCTGCATTTTGGGCTGACAGCAACGGGATTGTTAATGCGGATTAACTAACATGTGTTAAAAGTGTACATGCTCTTTTATCCCCAGTATTCTGACTCTATCAAGACATAAAGAATGTGGATTTTTTTGGACATGGGCCTGGCCAAAGCAATCACTGTAAGAAGAAATCTATTATCTGATTTGCAGCCATGGATTGTTGATAAATGCTGTTCGTCAATATTTCAGCTCAGCTTTTTTTGGGGGGTGAACCAAGAAATAAGGAAAACCTTGGAGCAACATGGCCAAAGTTTTTTGGATTCTTCTGTTTATAACATAATACCCGGGCTGACTTTTTTTCTCTTTTCTTCTTCTTTTTTTTCCAAAAATTCCTACGCTTCTCAGTTTTGAGATTCTGCTGTTGAACCTGTATATTTTTCTTTTCTACACTCGTTTCCCCTAATAAAACAGAATAAACCCATTTGAAAAACAATTCCCCAGGGCTTGCTCAGAAGGAACCGAAGTACTCACAGACTTCGTGTGTTCAGGCCGGGGGGCAATCACGGGTGGGGGGAGAGCGTCATCATCATCGTCTTCATCTTCTGAAACAGGGGGCACAGCGGGGGTTTCCGACACAGCCTTCACATTCTGCATGGAAATAACACCCATTTATTTATGTGTTAAAGTTTTAGATCCTATCTTTTGCTTTTTCTCCAAACAGGCTCAAAGTCTCCCCTGCCCCGAGCTTGAATGGCTGAGGATGGGCTAGAACACGGGTCTCCCCACTCCTCGTCCAGCAACTTCACCCCTAGACCAGGCTGGCACCCTCTGCAGAAAAAAAAATATATGCCATGCACTGAAAACAAAATCAGCATGGCGATTTGCTTCGTGCCAATTCAAGCAGCTGAAGGATGAATCAGAACTGAAATCCTACCCCAATGCCCCCAAATTCAACAGGCAGTACCCATGTCTGGCTCATCTTTGCACACGCTGAGGTCTAGAAGCAACACGTGTGGTTTGAATCGAAACCCAAATACGCAGGATACTAAATGTTTTAAACACCAAATGACCTTGTTTATATCTACTACTGTGGGCAAGAAACCCTTAGAAGAAATGGAGTTGCACTCATAGT